CTGAAAAGTAAAGCATGAGAGAGAGACTTGCTGTTGAATAAATTCAGCTTTCCTGAAGCTCTAAGAAACCATACTAGTTCCAGTGGAAACAGCCAGGTTGCAGATGCTAAAGAACACAGTGACGTTCGAGCAGCCGTATCAAGAATCACATAAGCTCTGATGCAGCAAATAAGATGTAGAAGAGATCAAGGGGGGCCATTAAATGCTTTTATTTAAAAAAAAAAAAAAAGGTCAAGGAAACTAAAGATTGAATGCTAATTACTTCAGATTTTAACATCTTTGGGTTAAGGCTTGCTAGGGGATTTATATTTGTTGGCATTTACTCGATTATCATTATTATGTTGACATTTTATCTTATTGCAGAGCCTCTGAAAAGCTGTGCTTTTGGATGAGAAACACCACAGGGACTGAGGTTTAGCTTCTGGCATAGTTTAGTTTTCTAGAAGTGGGGAGCAAACGGTCATTTCCCAGGAGACAGGCTCCTGGGTTCAAGCTAAAAGTCCAGTAGTTAGAAACGTTCCGTAACTGCTTTCAAAGCATTTATGAGCGCTCCTTGAATATACTGTGACTAATCTGATGTTTAACTCCTCAGCAGCATCTGTCTTTCTCAGCTAGCTTCCGAGGCCTTACAAACAAACCATGCAAAGCATGACTTTTATCTCCAACTACTTCCACTGCACAAGCATATCTAGTCCCAAGGAAAACTTTGGGAGGACTGGCTGCACCCAGTTCACATTATGTTTTAAAGGTTCCCAGCACTTAACAAAAATCTGCAGATGTGACAGAAGATACCCAGCTCCAAATCCGCAGGAAGCTTTGTTGGCTCATCCCCCGTCAGTGTCCATGGGACAGTAAGCGTGTTGATTTCCCTTTAATGCTTCAGTCACACTAAGATTATTTTTAGGCTGCCAAAGGAAGCTCATTTTCTAAATCTCTGGGGCAGATGTTTGAGTGACCCAAAGGGAACCAGATGTCCATCAGAGAGGCCAGGGCTGGAAATGAGTAACCATTCAGGGAGAGAATTAGAATAATAATAAATTAGCAAAAGTGGCAAGAAGCCCGCAATTTGCGTGCAGAAATTAAAACACAAATCTACCACTACACTGGGCCTATTGCTCTCCCGCAGTGACAGTAACTCAGGACTGAAGAGGAAAACAGTAAAGCTGGAAAGGAAGACCCGCTGACCTGCGGCGTGCTCTGGTACACGCAGGCCCTGTGCATGTAGATCAGAGATCGGCAGATGCAGCTGGGGGAGGAGCTGGGGCCGCATCCGCTGAGATGCCCTGGCTGTGGCTTTGCAGATGAAATAAGATAGCCCTTGTTCTATCTGAGCCTGCTTCCAGCTTCCTCCCATTCATCATCCCCAATCTGAATGGGCTTAAGGTGCCATTCAGATGTTGGTGGTTATCTAGATGATTTTTATACCTACAAATGAAGCAGCTCTCCTGTTTGCTTAGAAAGTTGAGGTAAAGAAATCACCTTGAAGGCCTTAGGAATGCGGTCAGTCACTGGCTCCTATTTGACCCTCTCATGGTGGGTTTGTTGTTTTTCCTGAAGAGAGGACAGTGTCCTTTAGGGACACTCAGTTCTTTGAATGTAACAGGATGTCAGAGGGGAACCTGTGTATGCCCTTCCTTGATATAGATTTCAAGCCAAGCAACTGCAAGTTCAGACATCCTCAGGGAAGCAGGGCTCTCTCACTCTTGCTATGTCCCCATAACCCAGGAGATAAGAAAATTTGGGAGCTTGGGAATCGTCTTTGGGTTTGTGGGTTGGCTATGGAATGAAAACCCATGGATCACGTCTCAGCATAAACTGGCTGCCGGGTTCACCCACACTGACACATCACTGGGAGCAGGACTGTGATATGCTTTACCCTAAACCGCAGAATGATAAAAATCAGGGTGTGGGGGTGGGAGTGTGTGCAAACAGGAGCATATGCATGTGTGTACAGGAAAATCTTAAGACACACAAAAAAGAAGTGAAACTGCTGTATAAAAAAAAGCATGGGCTGAGGGTGTAGCTCAGCGGTAGAGTACATGCCTAGCAGGCAGGAGACCCTGGCTTCAGTCTCTACCACATGTACTTACATGTATACAAGCGCTTGTGCATGTGCACACACACACACACACACACACACTATAAAAGAGGCAAACAGGGAGGTAAGAATGATTTGACAGTGGTACCCCAGCTCAATAGCTGACTCAAACCCAGTTCACATACGATATTCCACACAGACATTTTTCCTTTTTTTTTTTTTTTTCTATACAGAGAATTGAACCCACGACCTTACACTTGCCAGGCAGGCGCTTATGCCACTGAGCTATATCCCTAGCCCCCACACAGACATTTTCCTATACAAATCTGTTAGAGCAAGTTTCCTACTCTTAACTGGCCTTTGCTGCAGAAACAGATTCACCAAACTGGGCACACCATTTATACAGGTTTGAGGTAGGGAGTAAGAGGAAGGCACCCTCACAGTTCCATTTGGGTTCGCTGTTAGGTTCTAGGCAGGACCTTAAGGCCTTCTGCTGCCTTTGAGAGCAACAGGAGCTGTATGAGGAATTATTTATTTCTAGGAGTGCTACTGAGTTCCTGCTGCTTGATCTATGTATTTCTAAGAACATATGCCTCACAAGAAAGCCCCCAGAGAGGCTGTCCTAGGCTTACCAATGACCACCCACACGAGGCTCTGCACACTTCTGCCCAGGGGCCAACCTGGCCTGACACTTGCTTTGTAAAGCTCTCCTGGGACACAGCCTTGCTCACTAGTTTTCTTACTGCCTATGTCTGCTTTGGAACTACAAAGGCAGAGTTGAGTAACAGACTATTTGGCCGGCAAAGCCTGACTTGGCCTTTCTAGTTGCTGATAACTCGTTCATAGGAATGGTTTGCACCAGCCCCACCCAGCTCCCCACCCAGGGCCACTGCCAAGAAACAGGAGCATTTTTAGAAAACATAACTTAGCAAGTTGAAGGGGAGGAACTGACAAGAGGAGACATCTTACGGAAGCCGTAAGGCTTACTGATCCATCATGGTATTTCCTTCCAAAACATCCTTGTCATCCGGCTGCCTGATTTTATCTTTACATTTCATTTTTAAATGATACTAATAAGAGAGTCATTGGAAATAACAGGGGTTCTCTTTTAAAAATTCACATGCTGGACTAGGTTTTACTAGATTAGTGGATGTCATTTAAATCGACTTTAAATCAGGAGGCTTGATAACAAACATACAGTTTGGGAGGAATGACGAGGGTTTGCTCCCAGGTCTTCTGTGTGGGTCCTGGTGGTGGTAAAGGGAGAGAAACCGGTCTGAGGAGAAGGAAGGAGGGGTAGGAACCTCTTAGGGGACAGGGAATTGTGCGGAGCCCTCAGGGGGTGAGTGTAGATCACCTGAGGGCTCCAGGCTCCTGGAAACCTGTGAGGAGAGGGACCACAAGTGAGGAGTCAATGACAGGAGGCTGGAAGGTTCGTGGGTAAACAGAACCCCATTCCAAAGATATTGCTTAGAATCAGTGTTCCAGGAAAATAAAACAAAACAAAAAAGGGGAGGATAATCTTCCTCCTTCTCCTTCACCATTACGGAATCTTTGCTGCTAGAACTCAGCCCCTGAACTGGCAGTCAGGCTCTGTCCCCTCCTCCCCCTGACCAGCACTCCCACCACCGTACCCTCACAGCCCCTCTGCTTTGGCGCAGGCTCTCGTTCTTTCTCCGTTGGGCTTGGCAGAGGCCTCCACATCCACCTTTCCTCCTGCGTCCTGCCTGTCTCCGCCCCAACACACGAGCAACCATAGCACAGAAGCTCAGAGTCCATCACTCAAGAGAAAAGCCACTGACGCATCCCCTTCCTCATAAAAGGGGTTACAATTCCTTATTCTTGACCAAAAAGCACAGGGTGACCATTTGCACTTAGTAGACTTTTTGTATCTTTGAACAGCTCTTAATATTTCCTTTTTGGGGGATGGATTACTATGCATGTTATTTTTCTGCCCTAGAATGTCACCCATTTTGGTGGGGGCCCCACGGGAAATCCTGTGAGGTATGAAATACAACCCCATGATCCACTGAGCCCTTCCTGGTCCCTGGAGAACAATCAGATCCCCTCATCAACCTGTGGAGCCACAACCTGTGGCTTCTAAAGATTTATTATACAGGAGAGGGGAATATGAAAAATACGGAAATAACAGAAGTTTGTTTCGGGGTACAGTAACTACTGGGAGAGAGGAAGAAAGTGCCCTCAAGGTGCTCAGCATGTGGACAGAGGTACCAAGCTGGTTGGAAGCCGGGGTGACTCACATTGTGGCTTGGCTGCGTGCACCCGCAGGGCTGATTATAAACTTCTGTGGTTGTATGTGGTATTGGTGGGCAGAGCGTTAGGGAGAACTAGACATGTTTGCCCCAGGAGCTGAAGAGGAAAGGTGGGCTGGTGACATGCAGGCCGCCTATTTGCTACGCTTAGCTTAAAAGAGAATTCCCAAATATTTACTAAGTAAATAGATTCCAGGGGAAATACATTCATATATTCAACCATGAACTTTATCAATAAAATTTTATAAACATCTGCCCATTTATAAATCAGGAACTGATTTTCTGGTTTTAAGTGTCAAAGTGAGAAACAAAGTTGACAATCAGATAAAGTAGAAGGGGGAAGGTTCGGGTAATCGGAAAGGTCTCTGAGGAGTGAGAGGCTTTAGAAGCTTGAGCGTCTAGGAAGGGAGGGAATTTCAAGTGCAGGAATAACAGAAAAGACCACGGCCTTGTTTTCTTGCAAATGTTATCTAGAGAGGTAAAGTACTACTTACATAAAAGGCTAGGCAAGCAAAAACTAGCAGGCAAGCAGCAAACAAAAAGCTAAGCAAGCAAACAGAAACGCCAGGGGGTGGGGTAGGGAGAATTTTATTGGTCTTACAATGCTGTGTTTCTTTGAGAAATTTCTGCCCTGGATTCCACAGGGGAACTTCTGACCCCTTATATTTTGCTGTGTTTTGATTTCCCAGGCTCAGAGCATAAGATGTGGCAAGAAGGAGAAGAACATCAAGAAACTCCAAATCATCCAGGGCTCAGGAGGTCCTCAAGTGAGGTGTGTTTCTCCCCTAGGCACTGAAACACATTAACCGAATGCAACTATGCGCTGTCAAAGGTAATTCTATCATTGGCCTGAACCATAGCACAACAGCTGGAATGCAAACAAAGGGGACGCTGCTGTTTATCTTCACATAAGATTCTGACTCTGCATCACCATTACCTTCACTGGCAGCCTCAGAAAACAGACATCTCAAGGGTTTTAGTACTTTAAAGGCTTCCTGAAGCTCATCAAGAAAGTTATGCTCTGATATATGGTGCACAAGATAGTCATGTTATGCTGCTCCCCTCTGTATTTATTGCCATCATTTTGTCCATGGTTGAAGAAATTTTTTGTCTCATTCTTCTTTTTTTGTTTTTTTGAGACAGAGTCTTGCTATGTTTAGGCTGGTCTCGCATTCACTGTGATCCTCCTGCCTCATCCTCCCAGGTATTATAGGTGTGCGTCACCATACCTGCCTTCAGTTTCATTTTTGAACTGCTACTGTCCTTTAGTCTTAGTATATTCCACTTTACGTTTCAATGTGTGTACACAGATTCAGACCCCAAGGGACATGGAGGCTTAAATTAAGAAAATAGGAGTGGCATTAATAAGAGGAAAGTGTAGAAAGGGGAAGAGCTGAAAGGCATCTTTGGAAAACTGGACTGGAGTGCATAAAGACAGGAAGCAATTGACCTGAAGTGATCAGGTTGCCGTATGACTTCTACAGTATTATTTTCATGAAAGAAATTAATTCGAGGGCAGAGAAACTGTTATGTACTACAGAAGTACATATTTCATTTTCACAAAAATTTGAAGGAATTTTTCAAATCCAAAAGGGAAACGAAAGTTGATTGCCTATGGACAGGTTTCTTTAACTGGATTTCCAAAGGCTCCCTGCTATGATGTCAGCCTTTGTAGACTGGGAAGCCATCGATGGCTCCCAACACAGATTCATAAATTATAAATCTACACTCTTTGGCTAATGTCCTCCTGCACTATATAACACAAAGCAATCTAAAAACAAGGTAAATCTGTACAAGTTCTAGTATCTTCTTCCCATACTCCCAGGGACCACCTGACTTCCCCTCTGGGTGTGCCCGCTCCACGTGGGAGACCCCTGCACTATGAGGCTCTGAGTGGAATAAAATATTTGCTTTTCTATGCACATCACACAAGTTATCTGCTTCCTTGGGAACTGCAAACTGCATGGATGAAAATGTAGCACAGCGCCGGGTAGCAAGTTGGAACAGGTCCCTGAAAATGTGCCACAGGAATAAGCCTAATTCAAACATCAGCAGTTTTCCAGGCAATTCATTCTGGCCAAATAATTATCTTTCTCTCATGCATTTAACTAATCACTTCATCTCTTTAAGTATGAAACTAAGCCAAATCAAACCACCCCCAAATTTAAATCTTATTTTCTTAGACCAGCAATAACCGCAGTCTTTTCTTCCTTATCTCGCTCTGGCAGTTCTGCATATTGCACTGAGTTTCATGCAGCTTCTCTGTCTGTCCTGCACAGACCAAGGAGCTGCTAAGGCACAGTGCAGTGGACTGAGACCTACCTGTAGTTCACATTGCAGGGCACCGTGGAGCAAAATGTACAACCTGGGAAGCTGTGGATCAGCCTGGTGCTGGGAATAATGGTTTCTGCATCCATAGCACCAGTCTCTGTATCAAGCTGCAGGGGCTGCCTCGAAAGGCGAGCACCCCACGTTCCAGCATGTCCTGCCCTGAAGGATCTGTCTTCCAAACCTCCCATGAGCACCACGAACCCTTTGTCCTCATTTGCTAGCTCCCCAAACTGCAGAAAAGAAGGAGGCAGTGGGGTAACTAACCTCCCTTTATCTCAAAGCCATGCACACAGAGACCTCAGGGCTTCACCCAGCCCCTACCAGGAAGCTGCTAGGGGCCCTGCCACTTTGATGTTTTACAATCTGAGTGAGCATCAGAGTCACATGCTCTGACAACACAGCCTCCCGGGCCTTGTCCCACACAGACCTGCCAGGTAGGCCTCTCCAGACGCACTGGAGATGGGACATCAGCTTGAGCCCTGGCTTCCTGCCATGCACCAGACAGAGGGAGCAAGCACCGCACACATTTACACATGTGTGAGCACACTGATGCCCTTTGCAGTTTTTGTAAACTCTTTTCTCAGTGCCTCCACCTTTTCTCCCTGGCTCTTGGCTGCTTTCCCTCATAATTCCCTGGAGCTGTACAGTGACTCTTCTAGGGAAACAAGTTTGTTATCAGCAGAGCTCAGCGGTCTTCTCTCCCATCAGGAATTGCTAGTGGATAAAGTGCTACGTTTAGACCAGCTAGTCCCTAAAGTTGCTTGGAGCTGAGAAGCCTTATGGTCCTATTTACCAGAATCCACATCCTCGATTCTTGTAGCTCAGGGATCTTTTCCTTGGTGCCTTTTTTGTCAAGTCTTTTTGCCTGTGCTCCACTTGGTACTTTGCCAGCTCCCACTGAGGTCTTTAATCCTGTGTTATTGCTTTTATATTGGCTTGCTTTACCCTTAACCCAAAAAAATCTACTTATTTATTAAAGAGGTGCTACCATAAGCATCCTATTTTAAGGGATGGTATGTACTGTGTTTTCTCACTGTTAGAGTTGGAAAAATAATCTTTATCCCATTGATATCCTTGAAATTCCCAGAATGGAAAAGCAGATAGGTTTTCTAGTTTCAGGACACAAACAATAAGCACCTATAATGTACCATTGCCCATTTCAAACTCGAGACATGCGGGGACAATGACAGTAATGGAAACCGATCAAACTTCATCATGACAGGAAAGCAGGGGACACTCCGGGAAAGTAAGAGAGTATGTCTGCCATCCACCTGTCCGCTCACCTGTCCACCATCCCTCCATCTCATACACACATGGCATGTGCAGTGAGTGTCCAGGATAGATGTATGAGCCACTTGGATGATCTCTGCTCCCCTGCATCCTTCACTAAAGAAGATGCTCTTAAGTACACCATCACATGAGTGAGTAACTGTTAAAATCTGTGTTAAGGGCCACGGAGGACAATACAGGGAAGGGCATAGCTCATGCTGGGCATGCAAGAGATTCCTTGGAAGAAAACTCTGAAGTTAGACAAGTAAAAGTGAATGCCCAGAAAGAAGAGTGGAATGGGCGTCTCAAGCAGAGCCTGCCATAGCCCTCGATTTGGACGGATTCTGAGGAGCACAGCACGGCCTATTGCTGCCCTTTGAAGCAGCCTACCTTAACACTATCCTCGAGGCTGTAGGGAAAGGACATTCACTCCTTAAAAAAAGCTCAGAGAGCCCTGTGCCAGTGTTTTTCTCTGTGAAGGTCTGATTTCCAGTCAGACAGTGAGTATGCCTTCCTATTTTAATACTAATTAGATTTTTAAGGTACCTGGTGTCCATTGTTTTTTGTATAAGGTTCTAAGTTTCATTCAGTAGAAAAATCCAGCATGGGCTGAAAGAAGAAATTATTTCCCATGGAGGAGTAGCTTTAATCAACCAGAAATGATAGTTTCGGATGCTGTGATAAAACTCCTCAGTGTACAGACACTTCTGGAAATGTTAGAGTGGCTATTTTCTCAGTTATTCAACCCAAATAAAATGTAAGAGTCTCTCTCTTTTTCTTCTATAGGATTAACATCTTTCCTTGAGAATACTGTCAGGTCCCTATCCCCACATTTGTTCCAGCAACAAAGAATCAAACACCTGCGTCAGACTTACAGAACCGCAAGGTCCAGCTTTGCTCTTCTTTCCTTTTGAGAAGTGAGTCTTTTATTCTTTCCCAGTCCTAGTCACCCAAAGTTCCTCCAAGACTTTCTCAAACTCCTGACTGCAGAAACACCAGCACTGATTCTCTGATGCCAAAGGAAGCCGGATACAGGTCTCCTGATTGATGTGCTAAACAGACTCTTTCTAGCTGAGCTGTGACAACTGCAGATTTGGTAGAAACAACTGTTACTTCCATTTTAAAAAAAGTTTTGTTAAAAATATAAAAAGGGAGACAGGCTCCCAATCACTTCATGCCTTGTTATACTGAAATTTTTCTCTTCTCTTTATTTTTAAAAAAGTCGCTCTCTCACAGGGCTAGAACATGGATCTTTTCTGCTGAAGAAAATCTCTTTTTTCCTCAGATGAAATGTAGCTGTGTATACTTGGGACAGAACACACATTTTTGAGTAGTCAGTCATAATGACTTCATGTGCCTTTCATTTTCTTGTGGGACCTCCAGCAGGATTTCTCAAATCTTAGCCTGAGTCCAAATCACCTGCATGGCTGATCAGAAACAGACTGCCGGACGCTGCCCTGTACGTTTCTGACTCATCAGGTCTGTGCTGGGCCCTAGGATGTGTATCTGTAACAAGTCCCTAGGTGATGTTCATGCTGTTGGTCAGGTACCACATTTGAGAACCATCTACAGCTTTAGGATTCAGAACAAAACAAAACAAAAACCATATACTGACCATAAGGTATTTCATTAGATACCTTAGGCAGCCCAAGGAGCTATACCTAACTTCAAAAATTGAACACTTTAGTATGTTTCTTTCCTTTCCCAAAGAATAGGCAGCCAATAAAATACAGAACAGTAGGTGCTAAGTGCTCAGGGAGCAGGCCTTTACAGGTTAGGGAGAGATGACTGTAGGTACATCAAGCAGAGAAAAGCGCCACAGGTAACTCAGGGTTTTTTCTAGTCTTTGAGAGGAAAGCAGCACTTAGATAGCCTGGGAGGAGGCTGTGGGAACAATGCCTCACAGCAAAGCCATCTCTGTTGCTTTCAACATGCAGTGTCTCTTCCCAGGGTTGGGAGGGGGCGGGTCTCGGCATACAGCAGGGCAAGGATGGCTCGCATCTGCTACAAGCTTGCACACTCAGCTGTGCCCCCTCTCCATGATCTTTCTCAATCAGCCAGAGGACCAGAAGAGAAACGCTCTTCCTCATTCTCCAACCAGGCCCAAGGGCCAGACCTAGAAATGCCACAGTGTCCCACAGGTATCTTATTTGTTAGTGGAGACAGTGACCCAAGGCCTCTGAAGGACAGAGATGGAGAGGAGGCCGGAAGGCACCTGTAAGGGACAAGAGCTATAAAGAAGGCAGAGGTTCGGGGACACGAGAAAACCAGTCAAGTTTTAAGGGAAGGGTTGGAAGTGGTTAAGCAATGACAGGAGGATCATAGGAGAATCCATCCCCACCTTCAACCCCTCATTACATTTCAGGTGTTGTACTAGGTTCTAGGGATACGGAGGTTCTTACAACATTGTGGTGCTCACCTTTGAAATGTTTATGTCTATTGAGCAATGTACTTGAGGATAGCAATATGCAATGTAACAACCACTGTTGATTTGTATTAATTTGTCTTGAGACCCTGTATCACTTTGAATGTTTTTGCTTTGATTTGTTTATGTTTGTGATACTGGTATGCTGCTACTGTTCTATTTTTTTGTTTGTTTCTCATGTACTACTCTCTTTAAAATAAAATTTAAAAAATTAAAAAAAAAAGAATGTTTCTGTCTAATGAGGAAGACAGAGTAGTAAAAAGATAACTGATGGGAACAAACCAAGTCCTAGGATAGAACTATCACATGGAGCTATGTGAGTGCAGAGTATACATTAAATAACGGGGGGGGGGTAGGGAAAGGGTTACAGTGTTTAGGGTGGAGTAACATTTGGGCCAGGTTGCCAAGGACCTCACTGGATGATGAAGTGTAGGAGCCATCCAGGGAGAAAGAAGAGCGGTGCAAAGGCACAAAGTATGGGGAGTCCTAGAGCACAGGGGGAATGTGGAGCTAGCAAGGAGTAGGTGTGTGTGTGTGCATGGTGGGGGTGGGCATGGAGCTCCTCAGCACATTCATAGGAGAAAAGGCAGTACGGCCAGTCGTGGGGGACAGTACTGCTGTCTCTTGGGATTAGTGGGGAACCCAAATCCATGGATGCTCAAATACCTTAAAGGTCTTAAGATTTGCACATATCCTTCCATCTACTTTATTTTTTAATTTTTTATTTTATTTTACTTTTTTGAGACAGGGTTTCCCTACATAGTTCAGGCTGGTTTTGAACTCACTAGGTAGTCCAGGCTGGCATCAAAGTCGCTGCATACCCTCCTGCCTCAGCCTTCCCAGTGCTGGGATTATGGGCATGCACCACCATGCCCAGTTTATCCTATCTACTTTAAAATTAAATAATCTCTAGATTACTTATCACATGTAAATGCTATATAAGTAGTTGTTATACTATGTTGTTTAGGGGACAATGAGGAGAAGTCTATACATAATTAGAACAGATGAATCTCCCCCCTAAACATTTCCAATTCAGGCCAGGTGTGGTGGCATGCACCTGTAATCTCACCACTCTAGGAGGCTGAGGCAGGGGGATCACAAGTTGGAGCCTAGCCTGAGCAATTTAGTGACTTACTGGACCCTATCTCAAAATTTAAAAAATAAAAATAAAAAAGAGCTAGGGATGAGGCTCAGTGCAAAGGCTCAAGTCAACCCCCTACTACCACCCCGCCCACAGATCTGTGGTTGGAATCTGGGGGTGCAGACCCATAGATCCACAGCGCTAACTGTATTCTACAGGAAGAAGTTGGAGTTTTAATCTCAAGGTGATTGAGAGTCACTGAATTACATGGAACACTTAAGTGACACAGCCAGATTCTCATTAAAGATACTGTCACTGCAGAGGAGAGCATGAGGTGGGGAAGACAGACTCCAGCAAGGACAGCCAATCTGGTGGGCCACGACCCTGGGCAGCGGGGAGGAGGGGTTGCACTTGGAGACCAAATCTGCGGACTTTCCTCCTGGCTGTGTGGCAGGGACAGTGGAGTGGGCGGTGGGGAGCGAGTCCCATCCCCAGAGCGAGTCCCATCCCCAGAGCCGGTTCCACTGAGGGAATGGAGAATCTGCAAATGATCACGGCGTTACGTCCTCATATTCCCCTCTCCTTCCTCCTTTTACTGGTCAAACTTGATATTCTCCATATGGTTTTATTCTAAGCATGGATGGGGTTTGGGAAAGGAAAAATCTCATTGTTGTTTATTGCACCCATGGAGAATAAATCACAAGAGCACTCATGGCCGATGCTTAGCATTTATATTACATTTGTCCAACCGAAGCACTCAGAGCCCAGGTGCCAAACAGGGAGTGTCTGAGTGGAACTGGGTAGCAGGTTTAAACACCAGCACCACCAGCCTTGGCATCAAGGGCTTTGCAATGGGATTAAAATCGTACCAGGATTTTCATATGAATGGTTCTTTAGTTTTTAAAAATTATAAAGCAAGAGTCTTGAATTGTGAACATAGAACTAGAAAAAACTGCTTGTTTGTTTCACTAAGCAGCTGAATAGCTTTTTTTTTTTTTTTGGTACCGGGAATTGAACTCAGGACCTTGTGCTTGCCAGGCAGGTGCTTGTGCCGCTGAGCTGTATCCCCGGTGAATAGCTCTTCTCTAACGCGCAGCAGGGCAAGCCCGGAGACTGTGCCACCCAGAAGATCCCGCGTGCTGGCCACCCGCCGTCCTGCCCCTGGAGAGCTGGGTCAGCACGGATTTTCCTGGGCTGAGACCAGCGCTCCAGAGACCGGGCAGGAAGTGAAGTTGTTCAGGCCTCAGAGACTGGCCAGGCAAGGAGCGCGGGCACCTTCTCCTCCGTGGGTGGAGCAGCACGGGGGTGCAGAGGGGAAACTGGCAGAGTGGGCTCTTCTCCAGTTTCCTCACTGACGATAATGGGCATATGGTTTGTGTATGGCAGCTGGGAGTGACGTGACAGAGAAACCCAGAAAGACAGCCCTGGCGACAGGTGCGCTCGTGGGGAAATACTGCTGGCTCCTGCCCCTTCTCCTAGGCAACGCCCAGTTTCCCAAGTCAAGCATAGTGGGACAGAACTTTAAGTACGTTCAGAAAAGCCACAGTGACAAACCATAAAGCAGTGTGTGAGGAGTTGGTAAGCTTTTTAAAGATAATGTTATGGGCGATGATGGGAACTGGCCATGGTTACAAGTGGAAGCTGGTACCACCTCTCTGGTGAACACCTAGCAATTCTTCCAGAAGATACTGTGGAACAAATGTAAAAAATATGTATAGGACATATAGGCAAAGATGTTAGTGACACAATCCCTGATCATTTGAAAAAAACTGTATTCCTGTAACAATATAAATCAGTGACATAAATTATAGCACTTCCAATGCTGTGGAATATTAGCCATTACAAATCATGTTTCAGAAGACGTTAATGACACAGGCAGCCAGACGTGGTGACACGTGCCTGCAATCTAGCACTTGAGAGGCCCAGGAAGGAGGACTGTCATGAGATCGAAGCCAGCCTGGGTTACATAGTGAGTTCAAAACCAGTCTCAACTGCATAATGAGATCCTGTCTCAAAAAGACCAAAAAAATAAAAAATAAAAAAAGACACAGAGAAATGTTCAGGACTTTATCATTGACAGCATAGCACATTTCATAAACATGTTTTCATAAGGTTATTTAAAAATGCATACAGGTGTAAGGAAAAAAATATTCAGCTGGGTATGGTGGCACATACCTATAATCCACTAGTCTAGAAAGCCGAGGCAGGGGGATTGCTAGTTTGAGCCCAGCTAGGCAACTTAGTGAAACCCTGTCTCAAAATAAACAGTTAAAAAAGGAGCTGGGAATATAGCTCAGTGGAATGGGTCTAGGTTCAACACCCAGTACTAAAAATAAAAATAAAAAAAAATTCAATTAGAAAGTTATAGCAAAATGATAAAGATAGCTATCTCTGAATAGTAAGATTATATACCTCCTTGTGGTTTTCTTTCTTCTTTTTGTTTGCTTGGTCAAAAACATTTACATAGTGAAATGCTACTTTTGCAATCAGAAAAACTCATTAAAATTATACAAAAATTTAAAATGATAGTAAGTTTATAAAAACACTTTTACAAAAATTGTAAGTTTAAATTCTAATTTAAGTAGAATATATAGTATGTAATATATTGAATATCTAGAATGGGTCACTTATTAGAGTGGCATTTAGTATAAAAATTCCCAGACATTAAATACTTGCTTAGAAGTTTTTGCAAGAGAACAAGATGTAAGAAATGCAAAAAACCGAGGAGACTGTGAGCACCCTACAAAGAGCCGCTGCGCTGCGCACTGCTGCCTGGGGCTTCCTCAGAGGGCTCAGGAAGTGAGATGTTCAGGCCTGAGAGACTGCGGCACTGGGCTCCATAGAGCCGGCTGGGGGCCCCAGGCTCTGTGCTGAACTGGGGCAAAGGTCCAGACTGCAAACGGGAGGGGAGGAGGGGAAGAGGGGAGGAGGGG